GGGTATTGGATATCGAACTCGGGTCCTTGCGCTTGCACAGCAGGCAGCAAAACCACTGAGCTAAATCCCCGGCGAAAGGATGGATGTATTTTAGCACTTTGTTCCAGTCTTTTCACTCAGAAAAGGAAAGAGTGTTTTCACAGAAAGATGCATTCCGCTAGAGGAAAATCAGGAAACTACACTTTCTAGGTGCGTCCTAAAAGAGTAGGAGAGTTTTTATGTCATCTGAGCTGTTTCAAGAGGTAATGGAAGGGTGAGTAGCTGTATTTATGTAGAGCTTTAATGTCACACCAATGCCTTAGCCCTTTCGTTCCTTGGTTCCAGGCTCTTAACAACATAGGCGAAGTTCTGAAGGCGGCCAACTGCAACTTCACCAATGGTGAGCAGCTGGGTTTTACTGCACTGTTAATTTCTGTTTGATATTTCCTTCTTTAGTTTTGTGTTTTTTGTTTGTTGGGGGGTGGTGGTGGTTGTTGATTTTGTTTTTGTTTGTACCAGGGATTGAACTCAGGGCTTTCACACTGAGCTATATCCTTAACTCTTTTTTTTTTAGTTTTTATTGGGAGACAGGGCCTCCCTGAGTCATTAAATTGCCCAAGCTGGACTTGAACTTGCCATCCTCCTACTAAGCCTTCCACAGTGCTGGGATTACAGGCCCAGCTTCCAGTAATATCTCATGCCTTATCTTTGTTGCATTTTAAAGTTGTTTCAGTCGTTTGGGACACAGCACTATTCCACTTCACTTCTTCAGTCCCATTTTAATCAAGACAGAGAAATTTATATGTACTAATTTTCTGTGTTTTTCATCTTTTTTTTTTTTTGTACCAGGGATCAAACTTGGGACCTTGCACTTGCAAGGCAGGTGCTGGAACCACTGAGCTAAATCCCTGGCCCTTTTCTGTGTTTTTAATCAGACCCAATAACTAAGCCTGATGACGATGTACTTATCTTCTAGTGGTAAAAACAACTGTCTTGCTGGCCGACATAAACGATTTTGGTACTGTCAATGAAGTCTACCAACAGTGTAAGTAACTGACTTTATTACTATTTGGTGTGTTAAAGAGAAATTAATTTAACATGAATAAGTGTCCCTTATCAATTCAGAGTGATAGGAGATGCTTTAAAAAATGGCATCTGTCCTTAAAGAATGAATAGTTTGATTAGAAACATACAGTATAAACCCATGAAAAAAGATCTAAGATATTTCTGTTGAATTTCTAAGATAGTATACAAAAATCTTACAAATTGATTTTCCTAAAGCCTAATTGTGTTACACCTCCCTTTGGCTTTTTAAGCCTCCTAAAAGTTTTATGGGCACAGATTATATGTACTTATTTTTTCTAGAAAGCTAAGAAATTTAGAAAAGTATTAAAAATTATATGAATTATATGGCAAAATGTTTCATCAAACCAGTGTGAGTTGCTTCTCTGAAGTGTTGCTTATATGTAAGAACTGATTAGTCCACAAAGCACTCACCAGACTCTTGATTGTGCAGTAACATTACAATGTCTGGAAACTAAAATAAAATTCTTTTAAATTCAGATTTCAAGAGTAATTTTCCTGCTCGAGCAGCTTACCAGGTCTCTGCTTTGCCTATGGTACGTATATTTGAAAATGACTCATGTCCACAATTTTAAATTTCTACATTGTATTTTGAATACACCAAACTAAGCACTGTGAAAGGAAATTTTAAAATAAAGGATGCGGTTCCCCTGTGTTTGGTTTTTGAGACAACATCTTGCTTGGTAACCATGACTGGCCTCAAATTCCAAATCCTCCTTCCTCAGCCTCCCGAATGCTGGGATTGCAAGTCACCACACCTGGCTTGCTTTCCAGGAACTTAAAGTCTAAAAGTGAATGTCCAATATTTCATCCATGGAAAAAAATTAAGAAACCATACTTCTACAAACTGTGAGCCAAAATAAACTCTTCCTTTCAGAAATAAACATTAAACCTTAGGGGTGGGGATTTAGCTCAGTGGTGTTCCACCTGTCTTGCAAGCACAAGGTCTTGAGTTCAATCCTGGTACAGGGAAAAAACATTAAACCTTATAAATCAGAGTTTTTAAATTGGAGAAAAATTGCTAGGTTTGGTGGCATGTGCCTGTAATCCCAACACTCAGAAGGCTGAGGCAGGAGGGTTGCTGCGAGGTCAGGGCCAGCCTGGGAACATAGTGAGTTCAGAGCCACCTTGAACTACATAACAAGATCCTTTCTCAAAAAAAAAACTGTGAGAAAAATTACTAGAGCAGCTATGTGGTTGTAAAATTACTTACATGACTATAAATTTGAGACAGGTTTTCAGTTCTGCATCTAGTTGTTTGTAGGGCATCTAGATCTTCCACTCGAAAAATGCTGTTCAAACCAGCAGCACATGTATTGCTCAATGTCCTGGTTTTGATCTTCTGATCTCACTAGTAGCTTTTTCCTGTGCCCCTGAGCCACACAGTAGTACAAATGGAAGTCAGGCAAGAAGCTGCTCGTAACTGACTTCTACTTGTAATTTTCCACTAAACAAATATATCTCCCAAGAGTGGCATTTTTACTCATTAGTTGCTGTGTGGAATGACCATTACCATCAAACTTACTAAAATATTGGGTTTCATAAAAGGAACTCTGAACTTGGACATGGGGTTTTTGTTGTTGTTTTTTGTTTGTTATTTGCTTTTCTGAGACAGGGTTTTCTATGTAGGCCAGGCTGACCTTGAACTCACTGTGTACCTCAGGCTGGCCTCAAACTCACAGTGATCCTCCTGCCTCAGCCCCCAGAATGCTAGGGTTACAGGTGTGTGCTATCACACCCAGCACCAAGACATAGATCTAGCCCTCTGCTGTTTACATTTGTGAGTACTCAGCCTACCTAAGCTTCAGCCCATCATTTTATGAATTGGCGTATGTCTAAGAGGGCTGCTGTGAATTAGCATCAAAAGAGCTAATGTACTGAGCATGCCAGGTATGGGAACCCGGCCTATTATAGGTTCCTAGTGAATTTTCCTTATCCTTTCTTTCTTTTGAGAATTGTAATGCTAAAAATATTATGTTGCTGTTAGTTGCGTATGTTTTGGGCATTACTGAGCTCTCTTAATCTGTACAAAATTATGAACATGGTTTCTCTCCTTTCCTTACAGGGAGCCCGAGTTGAGATTGAAGCAGTGGCTGTCACCGGGCCTCTCACAACAGCATTGCCCTGAGCAGGCCCAGGGCCAGTGACTTTCGAATTTCCATCATGGCTTCAAATCAGTGTCTTAATTTTTATAACTTGATATTGGAAAGGGCAAGTGTGACTAAAATATCTGACATTATGGAAATTCCATCTCGTAGGGAGATTTGACATGAGCTGAGGACAGATAGTGCAGTTGCTGCAGGGTGAATTACACTTAGGCACACTCATGCTGCACAGTGTGAGGGAAGGGACATCACAGTCACAGAGTGAGAGGGAAAGAGCCGCAGAAGGAGGACTTGGCCCTGAGAAATAATACTGAGCACACCTAATTCAATTAAATCCTATTAATTTAGCAGGCAAAATATTTAGTTCTTGTGTTAGACATATGATTATGCTTTTATTTGAGTAAAATTAAATTAGTCAAACTTGAGTAATAGAGGTAAAGGAGAAAAAAATGGACCAAAATTTTATAGAGATAGTATTTTTCTAATGGAAATAAAATAGACTTGCAGATTTCTCTTGGTGTGATTTTGTTTACTTTGATTGTTTTGGGGGTTTTTTGTTTTTGTTTTTGTCTTTTTGAAACATTGTCTCACTGGGAAGTTCAAGACTGGCTTTGAACTCACTATGTAGCCCAGGCTAGCCTGGAATTTGAAGTAATCCTCCTGCCTCAGCCTCCCAAGTGCTGGGATTACAGATGTGAGCCACAACGCCCAGGTTATTGTTCACTTAGTTTTTAACAGTTTATACATGAAAACATGGTAAAGGGGGAAGGAGCCATGAAGTGAAGTCTATTTTATTTCTCAAAGTTTGTTTCTGACTTTGTACATTTTTACACTGCAATCTGTAGGGGACGGGAAAGGACGTTACCAGGACTCTGCCGTGGGCCCTGGCCCGAGCCGCCACAGCACAGGCGAACTCAAGAACAGACAGAAAGGAGACTTGAGTGCAGAAGCTGAGTCTTGGGTCCTGGTCAGTGCTGCTGACAGCAGCAAAGACAGAGGCCCCCAAGCAGGTCCAGGATTTAATGAACACAATCGTGGGAAGGAATAAGGAGCGGGTGTGCTTTGAAGGCATCCAGTGAAATACTGCGAACACCTGGCACGATGGCGCCGGGCAGGGCTGTTAGGGAGGAAGCACTGCTTATCTTGCTTGGGTGGAACAAACCGGTACGGGGACCAGGTGCAGTTAGCACGCAACCCATCGGGTCAGTGAGAGGCCATAATTCAGGGGAGAGGGTTTTAATTGGGGTCACCCCGACCTCAGCTGCACATAACTCAGCAGAGCCCTGCCACTGCACAGACCAGGGCCTAGGTTTCCATGGCAGCCATTGAGGGAGGGGCTGTACTAGCCCAGTCCGCCCTCCGACAGGCCCATTTGAGTCACGTAGAGCTTCAGTCTGATTCCTGATATAAAATAATATAGCCGAATTATGGAAGGAAGAAGCATATGCCACTCATAGCCCCTAGTACTGGGCAGGGATGTCTGCTACATTAATCAGAGTATTTATAATAATGTTGTGTTTGTTGAAGTCTTGCTTGCTTTTTTTCTTTTCGTTTCCTTTTTGGAGATGGAGACAGCATTTTGCTGTGTTGTCTGAGTTGGCTTCAAAGCTCCTGGGCTATAGCTGTGGTCCTGCCTCAGCCTCAGTGGTTGGATTACAGGAGTGCCCCTGCCTCTGGCTCTTTAAAGTATTTCAGCAGTTTTAGACAACTAAATGAATACTTCCTCCAGTACAATAAATCCTAATACAAAATTAAAGAGATTAGGAAAGAAAATCCCCCCTTCCTTTCCATTCCACAAACCTCCCCAAAGAAACAAACCACTCCTAGGTTCAATACTTGAATTTTTTGGTTTCTTTTGCTTATTTATAAATGGAACCTTATACATTATTTTGAAGATATTCCCATAGAGAGAGGAGAGAGGGATTGACCTCATTTTCAAAACAACTATGGAATTTTATGTGAATATACCTTAGGTAATTTACCCATTCGTCCAGTTCACTGTTTTCAAAATTATATTACAACAGCCTGGGGTGATAGCACATGCCTGTAACCCCCATACTTGGAAAGCTGATGCAGGAGACTCTCCATAAGTTCAAGGCTAGCCTGGGATACCTAGTTCAAGGCCAACCTGAACTACATAGCAAAACCCTATCTCAAAAAAACCCCAAAAAAACCCCAAAATAGATTACAACAATGCTACCATGACATTATCACATGCACAACACAGAGAGAGCAGCTGTAGGAAAAGCAAAGCATGCAGAGTGGGGATTACTGGCTGGGGTAAGGAAAGATTTATGCTTACAAGCTCATTGGGGGCAGGCCTCCCTGAGATGACAGTGAAGTTAAGGATGTTTGTTGAGATTTGTTGAACTTTTTTTAACCGGTGGTAAATGTCAAATGGTAAATGGAATGATTTTATAATGAAGAACCAGCTCTGTGTTCCAACTGCTCAGTATATGTTTACTTATATAAACATACACATATTTATGTTACATATCTTATAGATTATTAAATTCAGGCTGGTAATATTTTGTTTAGGATGTTTACTCTTATGTTCATCTGGGAGATTGGTTTTTCTATTCCAGAAAAGAGTTTATGGCTATAAACATCTGTCCTTGAGTGCTTGAGGAAGTTGAACAGGGTTTGGGGGACGGCGTTGGTTTGGTTTGTTTTTTTACTGTACTGGGAACTAAACCTAGGGCTTTAATACTGAGTTAAATCTCCAGCCCTTTTTTATTTTGAGACAGAATCTTGCTAAATTTCCCAAGCCAGGGCCAGGGATTTAGCTCAGTGGTACCTCCGCCTTCTCCCTCAAGCACAAGGACCCAATTTTGATCCCCAGTACCAAAAATTAAATAAATAAATAAATTTCCCAGGCTGGATATAACTTGTGATCCTCCTGCTTCAGTCTCCCAAATTTCTAGGATTACAGACATACACCACCATGCCCAGCTTGGGCTAGGTATTTTGGGGAAGGGAAATGTTTAAACTGGTTGAATTTCAGGAATATTCTGAATTTTCTGGTATTTTCTTCAGTCCCCAAGTTAACTGACTTGTTAGTGACTGGGTCAGAATTCTGAGTCTTCTTTCTGCACAAAGGACAATCACTAGATATTGTTAAATGTGAAACACTATATGTTGGCCTTTCAAACATGTTTACAGATAAAACAATTTCTTTGAAACATGAGATACCTAAAAAAAGTCACCCATATTTCCTTACTGTTGTATTCCTTACCTTTGACAGAGTCTGTAAAGTTTGCTTTTTTTCCAAAAGACATGTGGATCATAAATCTTACATGTTTCTATAATAATAGTTCAGATAAATACACCACGTGGGTTCCACACTACAAAGACGAAGAGGACACCGGACAACCAGACCACGGTACTGAGTCCCGCTGCTCCGGGCCCAGAGGTAGGGGCTTCTGAGCCACCGTGCCACTGCTCCTGGACCAGAGGAAGGGGCTTCCCGGCCACTATCCCTCCCACTGCTCCCAGCCCAGAGGAAAGGGCTTCTGGGCCACCATCCCTGCCGCTGCTCCCGGCCCCTGTCCCACCTCTCCCAGCTCAGAGGAGGTAATCCATGCAGGCACCAACAGCCCACCACCCCCATCGAAATGAGAAAACACGTAAATAAGTCTCAAAACCAGACCTCCAGATCACCTACAGCAACCCCAAAGGGAAATGAGATGGAACACTCTGATACTCAACAACCTG